GGTTCAGCTAAAATCAGGCTGTCAACGTAAAAGAGCAGCGGGTCGTTGTCCTAGTCGGTCACCACGGAGGTGGGATGTTCTTCTGGGCGGTCTTCGCAGCCCAAAGTGCCTGGTAGGAAGCGAAGCAGCATACGAGGCTCGCCGAAGTTCGTGTTGGCTTCGGAAGCGGTATGGTTTCGGCACCAAGCACGGGCACTGAAAAACCTCGCCTGCCTGATTTCACGTGTCCCGAAAGGAGCTGAGCTGCTTGGTCTTGGAGGGGTTTTATCCAGGGGGGCAGGGGACCTGACTTGTTAGAGACCGGAAAAGAAATGAGCCCTAGATGCAGAGAGGTTCAGGTTTTTCTGATAGACGCTACTGTTAGCTGAGTCTCTCCATCTCATAGTGAGGAAAAGCATCTTGCGATAATGCAGCTCATTAGTTTTTTCTAAGATTACAGAAGTATAGTCACGTACCCTCCCTTTCTCACCCTTCAGCGTTCAAAGGCGACACAAACCCCAAGAGAACCCGGTGGAAACCGTTCATGTCTTAAGGCTCTATGCCAAGCGTCAGCCAAGAACTCACTTTAAGATTAAAAACAATTTTAGAAGGAGGTTATGAGGCTCTAGATCCAGGCACGGCTCTTAAGTGATACGGTATCTTCTCCTGTGACCACTCTTTGCACTCACACCGACCGCGGCTTTGCTTTTCCTCCAGGAAACGAGAGCAGGAACAAAAACCAGAGCGGATGGGGCAGGCGCAGGCATTGCACGATAAGAAAAGGGACAAAATGAATACCTTTAAAGAACTCCTTCATCCTAAGAAAAATGATTCGACTCTATAAAAAGGTATTAAGAGACGATAAAGTTTGCCGGTTTGGCTATGTTTGAGGATGAGGGACTTCAGGAGTGCAGTTTCTTGGAGCGTATCTGAAAATAAGCGCGAAGACAGGGAAATGCTCGGGTACTTTGGTACTTTAGGGTGTTTTGAACAGCGTTGGTGGCCAAGCACGCCAAGTGATATGACTCTTTCTCTTGTTTCCCTCCCGCCCGCAATCATTCGGTGTGTTTAGCCTGCACAATCTCTCGCCGTGTGAGTGGTGAAGGTTGGAGTGATCCTGGTACTTGGTCTTGTTCCTCTTTGTTCAGCAGTTCCTACAATTTAGGCATTTACTGGGTTTGCATTTGTCTGTATTTGTCTTTGTTCCAAAGCAAAAAAAAAAAACCCAACCAGAAAAAAAAACACCCCTCATGGTGGCTTTCTTTACAAGTGACATGTTACGTGACTTTGGCTTTGTTTTCCATTTTTAATTACCGCATCGTGTGTTTGCTTTCCGAGCAATTAAAGTGTTTGTGTGCACCACGTTAGCTCAATATGCCCTTAATTCATTAACTCACGGGCTGGACCGGAGCAGCGGTGATGGGGGCCCGGGCTTCCCCTCCCGCCCCATTTCACGGTGGTTATTTTGGGAGGTCGGGGTTTTTTTTTTAGTTGGATTTCTTGCTTGTGTGTTGTCTTCGCAACCGCAAGGTCCTGTCCCTCAAAAGATGGAAGTGCACGTGGAGAGGGGGGAAGCTGCGGTGTCGCTCCCGGGCATGCTTACGCTAAAATTTTAAGGGGGTTTACGTCTCGTTTTGTGGAAACGGCAGCTTCGCTTTAAATCGAGAGGGCACCGGGCTCTCGGAGGGGGGAAATGCCGCTTT